GCGTTGACACGTTTGGATTTGTTACAACATAGACCTACTGGAAATAAATGGTACACTTCTAATTAATCCGGTGTCAGCGTGCAAGTTAAACACATTTAGATATTTGAAAATCGAAAAGACCTGGTTGAATAGGCCGAGACAATGGCAAACTTTCAAAATATAACATCCAAATAATAATATTGTTGATAACATAACAAAATATGGCTCTGGAACCACTACTTTTGGAGAATCGCAGTTGCTTAGGAGTTTGTGCTTTTCCTTGTATATAAGAGTGTGAGGAACTTATTGAGATTCAAATTGGGCAATGACAATTTTCCCTTCACAAACCCAAACCAACCAAATAGTGGGCTGACAGTAAACAGTATCTGACAACAAGACATATAGCTCTCCTCACCTAAATGTATCAAACCTGCACACATGTCCATTTCTGTCTTCAGCTTGAGCCATCCACGACTTTCCTCTTTTCAGCCTGTGACCCTTAGCATTACCCCGGGCTTCATGCAGGAGATGCCTCTTGTCCGCAGCTACTCTGAGATATAACTTTGCTTCAGAACTTTGAGCCTATCTGAAATAGTAGGCAGTACAAGTATATTTCGCATACATACTGCAGTGGTATCTCTTGTACATCCGAGAAATACCCACAGGGCTTCATTCTGCATGCGTTCAAGTTTAATCAGCTGACTCTTTGATATGGTAAGCATTCTAAGTCCATTATGTATCTACCACAGGATCACATGCTGGAACTCTGAACAACATTTTTCTGTTCCATATCCATTGTTGCCATGATTTTGAGAACATGGAGTTCTCTTTGGCCTTTCACCGCAACTGCCTCCACGTGATCCCCGAAGGACAAGCGTTTATCGAGAAAAAAAACGTGTGCCATCTCCACAACCTTATCTGGTTCTAGTGTCCATGTTGCAGTACATCCACTGTCATGTTCATCGGAACATGGCAGCTCAGACATCTTGAGATTCTGCAACCCCCCCCCCCCCCCCCCGCCTCTCTCTCCACCCTAAAAAAAGCCACTCCTCATGAATTTTCAAAGAAGCTGCTAAAACCATTTATACACATTTCCTCTAAAAGAAATCGCTTCTACATTTAATATTATTTCATGTATATTATTTTAGAACAAAGAAGACACAAACACTAGATTGCACAATTTATTGCCTGGCATATTTCGCTGTATCTCATCAGGCGCGTACTACAGTAACAGTTACATAAATGAAGCAAATAAGTGAATCCTTTATAACTAAAGTACACATTCAACAACAGTCTTCTTCTTCTGTGTTCGACATCAGTCATGCTAAACATTCAGTCCCGTCTGTCACAAATAGAATTGCGCGTTTAAAGTCGCCACCGGTCTCCTACAGCTTCTCTTGCAATGTAGCCTTGGGCCAGATCGACAATCTTTGCTGGGAGTACTAAGGGCAGTGGAGCAGTATGTGCCCAGGGGTCTGTCTTTCTGCTCCACAATCGCACGCAGCAGATTCTTTTATGTCTATCTAGTGCAGGTGTGCTCAAAGACCACAGTGTCCTGTCCGAGGTCTAAAAATTAATGTTTGTTTGTTTATGCTGTCACTCTCTGGCCTGTAATCTCTATTCTGCCTTCTCCACTTCCGCTTGAAATACTGCTTGAGGGCTGTTTAGGTTTCCTTGTAGCCGTGTGGTGGATGAGGTTGTGGAAGATTACTCCCAGCTTTTGCCAACTCATCTGCTATCTCATTTCCTTGAATACCACAGTGTTCTGGTATCCACTGCAGGACCAGTTCTGCTTCCTTGAAAAGCAAGCCAACGTTGGTCCTTAGATCTGTAATTACTTTGTCTTGTTTTTTGCTTAATAGTGCTTGGAGAACAGACTTGGAGAAAAGTCACCAGGCATAACAATTTTGTGCCCTCCGTGTTCTTGAGGAATGAGATGCTGGACTGCAGAAAGGAAAGCTGTTGCTTCAGCTCTGTAGTTTGAGCAGATGTTACCTGCTGGTAGAAAGAGAGTTTCTGTTTTACTGCTGGGGTGTTTAAGCTCCCCTTTCTGACTGCATCTGTAGCAGAGTCGTCAGTGAACACCTTTGTTCAAGTGGTTTTGGAATACTTCTCTTCAAGCACAGCAAGGGGCAGGGTTCTCTGTTGTATCTCCCTCTAGGCATCTTTTTAAAGTGATCCCTGGTACTTTTAGAACCACACGTGCCTTCTCTGGCTTTCTTGTCTATAATTCTTGCCTAAGCTATTTGCACAGTGCAACATCTCTTTCAAGCAGATCTTGTTGATGTCGGTATAGTTCTCTAGCAAGGTGGTTGTAGCTCTGACTCTTCAGTCTGTTTTTTGTTCTCTATTGAAATTTAAAATGCAGTTGGTGACTTTGAAGTCTTTTAAATTTCTCATACTGTAAAACAGTTTTGTGTTGTCTTCTAAGCTCGAGTGTTTTAGTATTTGCTGTCCTCTTTATCTCTGATGGGGGTGGTTTTCATGGCTCCAAGAACAATCCTCAGTCGCATATTCTGAACCTTATACAGTTTTCCCTTTATTGTTTCGGCTGCTGCAGCCCATGCAGTGAAGGCATATTCCATGACTGGCCTGACTGATCCAGTATATACTTGTTTCAGGATTCTGGAGTTGATGCCCTATGTGGTACCCGCTAATTTATTAATCATTGCGAATTTCTTCAATGCTTTCATCTGTACTGCTTCTATGTATGACTTCAAAGTTAGTCGCCAATAACAATCAAAAACACAACTGTCTGTTTTACCAGGGCGGCCGCAGTCAGAATCATATCTTTTTGTATACAGAGTTCAGGGCGCAGGCAACAAAGCGCCTACAAGAAATCTTAGCTAATCTGATCGTAGCTAACCTGTGCTAAGATTTTTTGAAGCCGCTGCGATTTATTGGGAGAAGGTACAGTTGAGCGATTAATGAAAATGTAAAAATTCTTGGCCAGGTGTATATCTACAGTACTGCAGATCTGCTTGATATCATAATCTGCCCTACCTAGCCATGATTTACCTCTTTTTAATCTGTCCCCCCCCCCCTTTTTTTTTTTAAACTGAAGAGCATGTGGTGCAAAGGATTCTACAAATCTGAGCTTATCTCTAGGTATGCTTGAGCACTCGAAATTTTAATCATGTGCTCCATTAGTCCCATTTAAAGTTTAAAAAAAAAAGGTTTTCAGGTACGAGTATTTTATGAGCATTTTCAAAGAAAAAGTAAAGATCCCTTTTCCCGCCTTAGGCGCATCGGGCCTATGGGAAGAACGTCCCATATTTTTCAGACCTATCGGCACTAGTTGGGTAATGTGGTCAGCATTACACCGACCGTCTTTACTTCCCTAGGACAGCCATCCTGGTACCCATTTTAGGCTGGGTCGGCCTGCGACGCCCCATACCATGATAAAAATCCACGCAGCCAGCAGTGGGTTTCGATCGTGGTACGTTGGAATTACGAGTCGGACTCGCAACACATAAGCCACGGACGCTGCATTTTCATAGAAGTTTCTCATTAATTAAAAGGGCTAGAAATAACAGCCATCTGCATAATTTTTAATTGTTGATACTCACTGTATATGTTAAGATGTGCCATTTCTGGGGGGGGGGGGGGTGTGATAGATCCACTACTTTGCTGAGACTAGTGACACAGTCTTGATAGCAACAAGTCAGAAAGAACTACAGGAAATGATAGACATTGTGATGGTAGAAAGTGGAATAATGGGAAGACAGAAGTAATGGTGGGATCAAAGAACTGACTGACTGCCTGACTTTCTACCCCACCAGGACATCACACAAGCGATAAACACCCGATGACACAATGTGCCACCATGCAGGTGAGGATCACCGTGGAGAGGTCCCAGAAACCGCGTTCAGACAATTGGCCATATTTATGGCCTGTCTATGTTGCGGCCCCTGGAAAAAGCCAGGGTGGGGCTTCAAATAACAAAAAATGTTGTCCTTCAAAAGGACGAAACTGGAATATAGGATCAAAGAAAATAATTATTCCTAAATGTGTAATAAAAGTCAGTGGTATTATTTTTGGACAGGAACATAAATTTAAGTATCTGGGCACATGAATAACATCTGATGGAAGATGCATTACTGAGATAAGAAACATAATAAGACTGGCAAAAGCTGCATTTTATAAAATATGCAATATATCTTTGTCATTGAGGGTTAGAAAAAGAATGTTTGCTAGCAACAAGGCGCCTGATGATGATGTTGATGATCTAACTGCATTCATTACTAAGGGAAATAACCTGCTAAATTGTGAATACTTTAGTCTATGGAGTTGTCATCCTGCTTTTCGATTGAAATGCCAAATGCATTTTAACAATCAGTAAAACAAACATAAATAACAGGATAGGAGCTCATTGAAACAAATAAATCAGAACAGCAGAAATACTTAGAAATCTTTCCATATTGCATTGTACAAAAGATTAAGCGTAATTTCCGCTATTAACAAAAAATACATTCGGTAGTAACCAAACGGTTTTTAACGTGTCAGATTGAAATTTATCGAGGGGAGGTTGTAACTAGCTCGCCAAGCTGTTACACCTCTTAATGTTCTAAATGTATAAACAATTAGCGGATGTCCAAGAAACGCCAGCTCATGAATACTTCTTATAGTCCATTCTATGTATCATAGATGATAGGTAGTCACGTCTCCCCACAACCTTCTGTCTCGTGTATAGTTAGTTAAGTATCCTTTACAGGACGTTGTAGAACCAACACCAGCAGCCCCTGGCTGTTGTGTGGTTTCTCTTGGCAAATTTACGTCCAGCAGCTGGGATTAAACCCGGCACCCCGGTATTACGAAGCGTTCGCATCGACTTAGCCACAAAGCCGACAAGACATTTACGTGTTCTAAAATTCTTCGTTTCTCGCTTTTTGAGAGGGCAATATTTTTTATACAGCACTTTAAAAAACCAAGATGGCCACTGGTGGATGTAAACACTTTGAATTAAACGCTTTCACAGATTTGGACCGCGTTTGCCGTTTTGTTTAAACTTTTTTGCGAAGATGTTTCCATCTTCTGGGTATTTTAGAGGTGTAAACTGTCCTTTTTATGTCAGTGGCTTATGTGAAAGACCCAACTGCCATTTTCGACATTCTCGGGTCGAGGAAAAACCTAAGTCAGCAGGTTTGTATTCACTGTTCTGTTCTTAGTTTCTCATTCTGCTGCTACTTGAACTTCTACTAGGCTAGTCAGTGTAGTACTTTAAGCTAAGTTGAATCTAACAGTAACCACGAAACTTACGTACTCATCCATTCTTATTCATCTCTCACTGCTGTAGACTAGTCAAAGAAATTAATTCAGAATTCACTTTTTAGTGCTGAAAACAGTAAACAATGTAAAGAAAGATAATAATAAAGCCACTATCACTGTTTACTGTTTCTTCAGGAACAGATAACAAGTTCCTAAGAAATTATGAAATAAATGAGTCAGACAAGCTCCTGTAGGGTTGGAAAGCTGCTTGTGCAGGTGGTTTAAAAGCTGAAGCATATAAAACCGATATAAACTGAAGGCTTTCCTCCGAAAAATGGCCAAAAACAGGGCCGCAGTCACATGTAAATTGCAAACTTCCTGTGACTAATTCGCTGGAAGTCCGCAATTTATATGTGACTGAGGCCCTGTCAGGGTGTGTTTTTGGCCGCCATAATATGTGGCCGTTGTTCGGAGGATAGCCAAACTGAATTACTTGTCATGTAGCACTTGCTTTGAAAACATTGCTGTCATCAGAGTCTGCCTGAAAGAAACTGAAGCTGCCTAAAATCTTTCCTGGTATCCTACCTTCTGCTTTTATATTTGTCCAGTTTGCTGGGCACTTGAAATGAAAATATTTAGTTTTTGAGACAGAATGCTTTTTACTAGCCAGTGTTCCCTGATTTCCAAATCTGTCAAGATGTCAAATATTTCTGGTCTTCTGTGTCCATGTTATTCTGAAAATCTTTCTATAGGCAGTAGCATTTCAGCTCAAAAGCCCCCATTTTCTTTATTGAGGACCGTGAGATAGTAGCTACAGGGAAGATTTATGCTCTTAGAAATTTGAATTTTATTTCCTTGCAATGCTTAACTATTGACTTTTAATGCTATGAAACATCTGCATTGCTATGGCCATCATTCTTTTGCCTGCAGTTGAACAGTCCCCAATACTCTTTGTTATGAAACGTAGATGTTCAAAGTTTGTGACATTTTCAATTTCTTCCTCATTTATTATTATTCTGGGGCAGCAGGTATTTTGACTGTGGACATTATTTTTCTTTTTTCCTTGAAATTCAAGGTCAGGTTGTGATCTCTGAAATGGAATTACTACACAGATTTGTTTTAGCTGAGTCAAGAAGATGGAAGTGGTATCCACAGTACTGACTGAAGGATATTGTTAGAGAGGTCAACCCCCGCCCCCTCCTCCCCCTTCCCCACCCCACACCCCACAAAAGGGGGGAGTATGTAAGTTATAGAAGAATTAGAATTATGTTATTATAAGTGCTTTTGAAAATTTGAAAGAGGGTCAAGGGGTGCAGTACACGCCTAAAGGATCATGACTCCACTACTGAAATACAGGCTATGCATTGACCATATACCATATTATACATAATAATAGAGAAATACAGGCTATGCATTGACCATATACCATATTATACATAATAATAGAGAAAGACAGGGACATGACTTTGCCAATTTAATTGTGGACTATGAAACAGCCTTGAAAAAATTGATAGAGATTATCTGTTGAAACTGACAGAGCAAATCATGAATACAATACTGGCAGTATATGAAGACATGAGTGCAGTATTCATGGGGGAGCATTACATTAGAGAGGCAAGAGATCTTCTTGCTGCTTTTACTATTCGTGTATGGAAACAGAACTGTGTGTACATTGTAATTGCTCACTTGTTTACAAGGCAAATTTGGTTAAATATCACTTTGGCTACTTTGAGACTTTGGGATAATTCTGTGGTGGAGCTGTTTCAGTAGCAATATTAGTAATACTTAGGTGGTGAATATGTTTTGAGACTACATTTTGTCTTCAGTAATAGACAGAAGGATTTGTAATTGATTGCTGTCTCTTTTGATATAATCATACAGTTACCATTAAATTCAATGCCTTCTTTTTATTATTACAGTAAAAATAATTGTTTCATGTTTTCATGTAAAATGTATATCGGCAAATGCTCAAACTTGTATGCTGCTCATGATTTTGGTTATTAAATAATATTTATTGTTTTTGTATTTTTCCTTTCTAGAAAATGGTCCAAACTATTCAACAAGTGTCAAACCATATCAGCCTAGTAGTGCACAGTTGTTTTCTTCAACCCCACTGCAGGCAGCTACTTATGGACAGAAGAAAGATACTGCTGGATACTCTGCCTCCACTCAGGATGAAACAACAGCTTCTCATGAGGCCGGCCAGAACTCAGCTAGTCAAGTAATCCAGATGACTGTTTCTAGCAGTTGTCCAATTCCATCATTCTCAGACAGTCCACAGACACTACCTGAGCCAGATGAGCTGCCTTCACCGCTTGAATCTTTGCCAAGGATTTCAGGCTTAGCAAAACCCAAACTCAAAGGTCCGGAAAGCTCAGGTCTGCCTTCATATATACCGACTCCAAAGAGAGTTCAGCTAATTGTTAAAGGGGCTGTACCATCATATAACCCAACTCCTAAACATGTGGAAAGTCACCACAAGAAAAACTCCAGCCACACTGTTGAGTATGATCCAGTTAAAAATTTCTCTTTCCGGGAAAAATCAAATTCAGATAAAGAGGATGTTAACCACACTGGTGATATTGCAAATGAAACGCAGAAAAAAGATACAGAGTCTCTTCAGGGTGAGAGTGTTCAGACAGTTCCTGCCAATGACAGTGGCAACATTGACAACCCTGCAAATGCAGATGAAAGTGATTTAACAGACTCTGATGAAGATGTCAGTCAGAAATATGAGGATGAGAAGAATCCAGCTGATAAAAAGCTTCCACTTTTTGCTAACTTACTTACACCATCTTCGTATTTCACTGAAAAACTTAATTCTTCTGTAAACAGAAAACTATCTTCAGACTTTGAAGTCAGTTCATCTGTCAAGTCTGGTGTCCCTGTCCAACAGAATAGTTCAATAATTAACAGTAAGTCACATAAACAAAGCAGTTCAAAGACCTTACATAAGTTGCACCATTCACGTCATTCACAATTATCATCAAAAGCTTCGTCATCTTCAGTAGAAAAAAGCAAAGTATTAAAATCTACATCGTTGTCTTCAGAGAGAAATAATAATTTGGCATCGTCTACACATCCTGCTAAACCTTGCCGATCAACATCGAACTCTGAAGTAAAACATTCAAATACAGATCAACTGAACAAAAGTGCATTAAAAGTTAAACCTGACAAATCCTTGCTCCACTCCTCTAAAGATGCCAAAATACAAAGCGGCTCCGTTTCCAAGAAAGAGAACAAGCATAAGTCCAACACTTTATCATCGTCATTATCATCATCACAGAAGAATAAATCTAATTCATCATCATCATCACAGAAGAATAAATCTAATTCGTCATCATCATCACAGAAGAATAAATCCAATTCATCATCATCATCACAGAAGAATAAATCCAATTCATTGTCATCATCAGAGAAAACTAGATCAAATTCATCATCGTCATCACAGAAGAAAAAATCAAGTTCATCATCATCAAAGAATGATTCTCGTAAAGCAGACAGCGCAGAAGAAGCATCCCATAAGTTTAAATCCAAGGACTTATCAAATGGGCAAAGTGTTCACAAGAAAGAGAATGTGGTCCAAACATCAGATAAATCTTCCAGAAGCAAACATTCTGATTCACAGAACAGTCCGAGTGGACAGACTTCTGAGGTTAAAGAAACGGTACAACGCAATGATGCCTCTATAAAGAAGATCAAAAGCACTAACTCTAGTCTTAAATCAGACAGTCGTCGACGCAATAGTTTGAACGGACACAGCTCAACTTATATCAAGCAAGAAACCATAGATGTGCATGAGAGAATCAGAACTGATGGGGAAAATACAATAAGAAGAGACAGCTCTGCTATAATAAAGAACAGTAGAGACAGTTCAGTAAAAGTGCTTACAAACAATCATAATGGGGGAGAAAACAATAGAACAGACTCAGAAAGGCGAGGAAGTACAGAAAACTGCAGTTCAGTAACAGAACGTAGAATAAGTAACATAACAGCAAACCTCTTTGGGGCGGAGAGTGAAGGGTCAGGATCAGATTCAGATGTTGAAATAATTGATGTTACTACCAGAGACTCACAGCCTGTGTACGACATCAGCGATTCGGATCAAGAAATGCAAGAGGATAGCTCAGCAGCACCGCACTCAGATGAGGTTGATATGCTGTCTGACTCGGACACATTTGATGAATGTCTAAGAATATTTGAAGAGACTGAAAGACGCTTGGCGGCAAAATCAGCAAAGTCACAAAAACTCGGCATTAATCTAGATACAGCAAAACTTCGAGAAGTGAGTACAGTTGATTTTTCTATTTATAATGTTTGTTAAAGATAAACATAATGTTTGAAACACTAAAATGATGGAGTTATGAAAAAATTTGTGACATGATTTATCACTATAATGGCATCAGTTTACCTAGAAAATCCGTTCAGTGATTTACTGGACATTTTACACAAAGAGATTTGTTATATTTTGCGACCTGTTATAAAAACAAGCTAATTCGTGCAGCTGTTGAGATTATCATGATTATAATTATTATTTTTGGCATCCATCAGGTCATTTTTTTTTTTTTACTCAATATTTTATTTTTTATTAATGTAAAAAATGTTAGCATGATATCAGAATTGCTTAACACCCCCTTGAAACTTCATTGTGCCCCTTTCCCACATTGAAAACCACTAATCTGTTGTCTTCTTCTTCGTGTTCACCAGCTGTAAACTCTGGTGGAAAGTTCTAGTTGTTCGTCCACTTCTGAACTGCAGTCCTGTTCCAGAACCTGAGTGTTGCGTGTGCATTTGTTTGACAGATCTGACACATTTGTGTGCAGACTTTTGGTTCCTTGCCTTTCAGGCAGATGCACTCCAACTTCGAAGAAAGCTCCCAATCATTTGATTCTTACGACATGCTTTTGGAAAGGCGGTGGGTCTATTCTTGTTTTCCCTATAATACGGTCCCGGAACCAACACAAGGGACTAATCTATAGTAATTTTTGAGACTATAAATTGTACTATGTATAGTGATCTACCTGTTGTTGTTTTTTTACAATAAATAATTGCAGACACCAAAGGTTGCAGAAAGTTCAGACAGCTTATTACTGTCTGTCATCAAGAAAAGAATGGCCCACAAGACAGCTCAAGAGGTAATTTATAGTGCTTCTGTCACCATCATCTGGTGTCTTCTCCAGGATTATGTGTCTTTTGCTTTCATCTCTTAATGGTGTAAAGATCCCTCCACCAACTCGTGCCAAAGTCCTTTACATACTTTTTCATAATTTTGGGAGGATTTTAAGCCAGAGTTTTTGTATGGATGCAGTCAGTGTCATGCCAGCCTTCCTTAAAGGTTAAAGACGAGAGGATTGACTCATTGTACTGGGTTTTATCCCATAAGGCTCGGTCTCTCTCTCCACAAAACAGCTAGCCATTTGCCGAGAGCACCGCACAGAGTCCGAACTACGTACCTCCAGGGATCTCCTTAAACATTGTACTCATGAACTGAACGCTGCAGCCATAAAATGAACCCACGACCTTCAGATGGCGAGGCAAACGGCTTGACCACTTCACCACAGAAAACTTCCTTAGTCACTTCTTATAACATGCTTGGTAAGCTGCAGTGTTTATTAAATGGCCTAGTAGGGCGTGGCAGGTTTTTGTCATGCATTTTCACAATCCACTCACACAACTTCTAGCACATATTCTTATGTTTCCACCATAGTAAAGTTGTATAACTCTTGTGTACTTGTTCTTCACTCTAGCACATCTCTTGGCATGGACAGGTGTCTCTTTTTTATGTTTGAAATATTTTTATTGTACTCAGAAGTTTTGCGGCAGCTTAGTGAAACTGCAGAATTGTGTGAGCCTTGTATCATTTTGTAGTAATGTTTTTGTGCTTTCGCTGTAATATGGGTTGGTCAGTAAAAGTCACCATACGTATTCAGGAAAGCATCCCATTTCTTAAGTACATGACGAATGCTGTCAACGTGATATGATAATGGTTGCTCACTGGACGAGGTGTTTTAACGCTTTCATTATTTACTGCTTTCATTATGTCTTCTTCTGTATAAAATCATTGCTTCTTGAAAGCTTTTTTTAGAGCTCCAAACAAATAGAATTACATGGTGGCAAATCAGTACTATAGGCATATGTTGCAGAATTTCCCACTTCTACCATACTTATGGTTCCTGCATAATCTTTGCAACATGTGTACTAGCATTATTGTGGAGAAAAATGCATTTCACTTTTTTGTGGTTGGTCAGCATTCTGTGGGACCCATTGGGAACACACCTTCTGATATCACAGTTTCTTATGGAAACACTTTTTGATTGCTGCATCAGCTTTGGCAATAGTTTTTTAATGCGTTTGACCCAGCCCTGGAGGATGTGTTGTGAAATCACATCCTTTTCGCAACATCTGTACACAGTCACTGTTATCTTTGACGCATGTTTGTTAGCATACACTACCTACATTCTTCAGTGAATGTCCATGGTCAACATCTTTCAAATAAAAGAAACCAAATCACCTCTCATTGAGTTTCTTTGGGATCAACCTGGCCATTTCTGAATGGTGGGAAACAGAACCTATGACTTACAGGATGATCTGCACTGATCTTTTATTCATTGGTCAGTACTTGTCACATGACTGTGACATAATCATGTTCAGTGCCCAAGAGTTACCTGCAGTCAAACATGAACTGGTTCAAATAATTGCTCCTTAAATATATAACTGTGTTTTTAAATGATCCTCACAGATTAGTAAATTAAATTGTGTTTTGTGTGTTGGAAAGTATTTTTGTTTTCATCCTAGTTGATTTATCTCATGAAGAAGACCCTAGTGTTTTCATCAGTTCTAGTTATGCCTAGTGGCACATGAGGCTTCAGAGAGGACTTTCTATGCTTTCCTGTCCTGTGCAATCTTCAGTGCAGTTTTCCATGTCAAAGATGCCGCACTCGGGTCACTTTCCATCGTTCGTCTTCATGTTGTTTTTGGGCGCCCCTGTTTTCTCTTTCCCTCTGGTGTCCATGTGAGAGCTGTTTTGGCAGGTATATCAGAATTCAGTCTCATAACGTGGACGAGCCATTTCCATCTTCTCTTGGTTATCATACTGTCTAAAGTTTTTTGGTTTGTGACTTAAAGTAGTTTAGTGTTTGAGATTGTATCTGGCCCAAAAATTTTGATAATTCTACGTAGACATGTGTGGTGGAAGGTGGACAGCTTGTGTGCATCCTTTTTGGTCATTCTCCAGTATTCCGCTCCATAAAGAAGAACTGGCAAAATGATGCTCTTGTAGAGTCGGAGTTTCGTTCCTCTGCAGTAATTGTTGAATTTCCAGATTTGCCTCATCCTTCCAAAAGCAGCTCCAGCTTTGTTCAGACGTGACTGTATGTCCTCTTTGGTCCCTCCCTGCAGGGACACCACACTGCTAAGATATGTGAAATGTTCTACATTTTACTAACAAATGAATGAACATTTATTTATGAAGAGTAATAAATCTGGGCACACAGGAATTTAATATTCAGCTCTTTATGCCACTCATCTTTGATGCATTTATTATATATTGACCCTTTTGCCCCATAAATGCTTTAAAAAAAGAAAATTTGCTATGAGCCTGAAAGAATTCTCTGGAAAAAGTCCTTTGAAAAGAAGAAAAAAAACATTACACAGTTCGCTAATAATTTTTTGAAAAATGTATTTATTTACATTTAAAAATAAATTGTTCTAAATCTTCAAAGGGGTTTCAATAAACATGAACAAGAGAAGCATTAAGTTGAATACATTTCTGGGGGTTTAAAAAATCTGAATTATTTTTGGTGACTCATGTCATGACTTTATAGGAAAATTTGACATCACCTTGGCTTACAAAAAGCCATTAGGATCATAAAAAAACTCTCCTAAATGCTTTTTTTAGTTACTAAATTCATATCCTGGCCTATTCAACACAGCACAGGTACACAAATAACCAATGGAATATTACTACGCGTTCTTGGGAGCAGGTTACTGCAGACAGGCCATATGTTGTCATTTACAGGAACATGGCACAGCTGGAGCTGACTGGATTTAGGCTTCTCGGGGCAAAAGGGTTAAGCATTGTAATGTAAAATTACCTGGCAATAAACACAAGCTAAATGCTCAACCTAGATGGAGTCTTGTTTTCTTCGGCCGCTGTGGTTTTTGTAGGCAAATATTGTGTTCAGTAGTTTTGCTGTTGCTTCCTGAATGGTCAGCTTTCTGTACCACTGTTGAAACCAATGCAAAACAGCCTGCTGCCAAAAATTCTGCATCTGGGATCGACTCCGGCATTATGAAGCATATTCACAGTGCGTACGCCACGAACGCCGACAGATGAAGTTTAGGCTACATATGTTTGACTCACAAGATAATTTAGCCCTGTAAAAGATTGTTTAATAGTGCCTTATGCTGGCATGGCACATTCTATAAAAAATTGGGCCTAATTTGGCTGTATTACATTTTACTAGAGTTTAAATATTTTTTTGTTGTCAGATTATTTATTTCTGGCTAATCTTTGTTACTAGGTATCCCGTCCAGTGAAAAAAACAGCATCAGCATTTCGACCAAGGCCTAGTCCAGCAGAAGTCATGCACAATCGAATTGTAGAAATGCAGAAACGAGCTCTCCTTAGGGCTGCTAGGAGGGAAGGCAGAGAATCAGAACTGGTAACAAGATTATTTATACAACATACGTGACATTGTTCATTTGTTTGTAATGTAATTATTAGCTTTTAAAATTACACTCTATTGGCGATATCCGTGCTCTTAGCTGTTTTAGAACATCAGCAAATATGAGATTAAAACTAAATAAGATGTGTTTTTTTTTCTCTGCTGTAAAAGTAGATCACCCTTCAGATGGTGCTATCATTTGTTTTCCTGTGTTAATCCGTCCTCTGTCCTTCAAAGACTGGTTGTCTTTGCATCAGGCATGGAGATGTTGTTTTAATTTATCTGATTAATTGTTTATTTATTTCTCCTCTTCAAGATTGTTGTTTTTAAAATAAAGCACACTACCCACTTCTTAAACTTCAGCTTCAACTCCTACCAGCTATTGAACTCAGTGAATCAACAGGAGAATCCAAAAGAGAAATCAGAAAAATGCTGTATCATCTGTAAGTTAGGCTGGATATCAAGATAGTTGCACAATCTGAGAACATTCCGTAAGCATACATCAACTAACATTGGTATTCATCCAGGTAAGCTGGCAACAGCTGTGAACAGCATTAATCTGCAAAGGAGTTGGTTATTACATTTTAATTTTTTTTTTAAAGCAGATCATTATACATTAACATTCACAGTAATGGGAGAACAAACCTTGGGATTCTTCAAAGCTCTGTATACATTCTGCAGTACTGCAGGGCTGTGTTCTGTTTAATTTACTACTTGCATAGATAAAATCAGTAAAAGACCACAGTTTAATTAAGACTAAAAAAAACTTCACTTTGTTGACAATTAGACTCTCAGGGCAAGTCATATATGGGGGGGTGTAAAAGTGTCCTAGATCTTCATAGAAAAATATTTAATGAAACATTTCAGATAGTCTTTTATTGTCAGGTTAGTCAGTTCTAGCCTGATATTCAAGCTGTCTGATCATGTCACTCCACTATCCTTTGTTTTCAGCAGTTCTCCGTCACTCAGCTCAACTCTCAACCAGATGTATGTAGTGAATATTCAGTTCCGTAGCCTGATCTTGGTATTGTTGAGTGTACAAAATATTTATTTCACTTATAATTTTATTTATAATAAGGCCACTTGATATGCGTTCGCAGGCCAGATTTGACATGCAGGCCGCCAGTTAAATAGTCCTGCACTATGGGCATTTAAATTTAATGTCTTTCATGGCGCCATTTTTTCTGGGGTTTGGGCAGAATTAATTTTGAGCTGACATTTTTGTTTTACTGCAACATGGCAAAGCAAAAACCTTCCTGAAGAAGTAAAGAATTGCCTTCATAGTGACATATAGTATATCAAATTTAAGATAAATAAATACAGAATACATATAAACTATTGAAGAATCAGTGTTGCAAAAACAACATATTAAAATAACACCACATTCAAGGATGTCAGACATACATGTAGATTGTTTACTCATGAAGTTTTGTACTTACCTTACTTTTTTTTTTTACTTGATCAGCAACACTGCTATCCATTTCTAAGAATGTACATATCTTCTCTATTAAATTATGCATCAGCTAGTCTTTATTTGAGACAATTAATCTAAATACTTTATATTTTTTGACCATTTTTGTGTGACTTGTTAAATTTAAGAACATCCAGACACAGTTGATCGAAACAGGGACAGTCTGATTGAGACATTTTGTTAAACTTCATTGGATTCTAAATTGTTGCTAAATTACCTTGTTCTTCGTCTAACAACTGCTGAATAACATCTAAAGCCTGAGTTTTGGTCATTCTTTGAGCTCTCTGTAGTTGATTTTGAATGCTTGAAAGTTGCTATTTAGGAAAATCACGTTAAAATTGTAACGTGCTGATTTGATTTAAAACAAATCAAAAAAGTAATTAACTCACCAGGCCATGCTTCAAAAACAAAAATACATTATTTCACTAGTCCTAGTGTATCAAATCATGTTTATACAATTCCATTTTCCTAGCAAACAGAACAGTATCAGAGTGTCTATGTCCAGAGCCACTTGAGTGGCGATTCGTCCGCAAAAAGATTAAATATGTCTAAAACTATTTGCCACAATATTTATAAATATTCATTATTTTTCTGCAGCCCTCAACATTAGTAGACAATGACTTACCTTCGAGGAATAAAGTGACATCAAAACCAAACTCACCAGGATCAGCGGTGGTACCTTCGTCATCATCGTTATCCGAGGCAGCATCTTCTCTCATCGTCTCTCAGAAGAAGCGTGAAGCACACACACCCACTGTCAAAACTCCCACTAAATCAGCACCGACTTCCAGTGGTCCTGTTTGGTCTCCAAATTCATTTTACAACAAGAAAAAGCCAGAACCAGCCACATCTACAGATGATAAGAAGCTAGTTACCATTGCCAGTACGGCTTCTAAAACAGAAAAGCGTGTGGCACATGAACCAACTCAGGTAGGCCAGACATTATCACTTACTCATTGTTTCTTGTTTTCTTCCGTTGAGTGCCCTTATGTCCTCAGGGTTTTCTGTTAGCACCTGTTGACAATGAAATAACTAAAATCTATGGAGGAAACATCACCAACCAAATCCCAGCCAGTTTGTGTGTGCTGTGTTATATCATAACCTGGTTGTATTCTAATACGCCTCTCTGCACGTGTGAAGTTTCAATACCAGCCTTTCATACCCCAGTGATTCCCAAACTTGGAGAGGGGAGAGGGAGCTCTGCAACACAGTTCTCAGTGAGATGTTACTTTGACACTGAGTGTGAAGAAAAATCTCTGTACCAAGCTTACTCAGATACTTGCAGGCCCTCAGAGGGACTGAAGAGCAGTGTATCACAACTCAGTTTTCCAACTAGTTAGTTAGTTAGTCAACAGATTATCCTCATTGCACGTCAAACCACTCAGTCCATAAGTGTTCAGATCCCCCCCCTCAGTAAATCCTGCAGAGTGTAGCGGCTAAACGGCACCAATTCTATGTTTGTTTATTATTCTTCTTTGGCTACCCGCATAGTGTTCTTGTTTGGCTGCTACCCTGTTTAACATGTTGTTCTTGCAGTCTGACCATGGTTGCAGATTCGCAGTTCTCAGTTGGTTTGCGCAAACGTCTTAACTCTTTTAGAGCATTCAGTATATCAGCCTGGTCCATGGCTTGTCCGGCTTTCACAGTAGCCTTACCTGCAAGCCTGTCAGCTTGCTCATTTCCTTGTACCCCTACATATCCTGGCAAGAAAATGAAACTAATCCTTGTCAGCCGTGAATTCTGTAGAGCCACCAACCACTGCCTTCGGACCCAGCCCTTCTCTATCTTTTTGAGCATACTTATCGAGTCACTGAGAAAGCTTGCCCCATTCTGTCTCTAGCCATGTTACTGCTTTAGTCACAGCCATGACCTCCATAGTCAGACTACTTGTAGTTACAGCAAAAGCTCCAGAATCTTCCTTCACATTTCTCCCTCCAAACTGAGCCTTGAAAGCCCATGAGAGCTAACGTGGCGGATTACAGAACCATCTGTGTAAATGACAGCATCACCCTCTAGAGCGTTCTAAAAAATCAAGGCTTGAACTTCTGCTTCCACAGTAGCCGGACTCTGTTGTCTGCATTTTCTGTCCAGTTTGATGCAAACTGAAAAAGATGTGCAGCACTCTGATGGCACTTGCACCCACTCCTCGCCGGGTTCTATGTCCTCAAGTGAACATACCTGTAAAATAATATCCTAGGCTTGACCCATCCACGATTTGCCTCTTTTTAACCTGCAGCTTTTTATCTTCTTGATTTGACTGTGTAATGGATGTTGCTCCGGAAATTTGTATTCTGTCTTCCATAGTTGGAAAATCGAGAAGGTAGCACATCGCCCTGCATGCTGTATCTCTTGTACACCCAAGTATAATGTGCATAGCCTCGTTCTGTATCCTTTCCATCTACTTATGGCTGAGAGTCAGGATCGCCATCGCATATTCAAAAACAGAAAGGACCAGACCCTGGTATAGAAGACATAGATGACACTGCTCACAGTTTGCCGCCGCCATCACTCTCATCGCAGCCAGACCCCGCTTGGCTTTCATTATAATCTGTTCCATGTGCTCAATATAAGCAAGGCTTCGATCAAAATGTATCTTCAGGTATTTCATCTCCTTCGTTCTTTCCACAACCTCAGAACACAGACTAACAACTGGTGTTGGAGTTTTCACAATATGGTTATTCAAAAAGAACCATGTCACTGCCGATGATATACTAACACATCGTCAGCATATGTCAGTTTTCTTCCCGGTCCTTTGATTTGCTCGCCTGGGATTCTTACTGTGTAAATGTTGAACAACACAGGGAATAATGGCAATCCTTGTGGCAGGCCGGGATGTATTGTTGGTTCAGAAGTCCAGCTGCCACACCTAAACACTACTTTTTGTTGGAAGAGGGCGGAAGAGATCCAGTGAAGCAGGATGGGCTTTCCTGGAGTTAAAGAAGCTGAGACATTAAGAAGTCCAAAGGTACTCTGTTGTACGGATCCTCGAGACCAATTGCCGCAGCAGACATTTCAGTACCTGAGTGGAAGCCTTCATACACACCATGAGCAAAAAAACGCAGCATTGGTCCATGTTTCTTTCTTTGGACGGTACCCTCCAAGGGTCTTTGGAAAAAGACCTCGCCTCTCAAGCTGGTGTAAAATTTTTCTGGCGATTATCTTTTCTAACAGCTTGCCTAGAGTATTTTACATAGTGATTATCCAATATTCTTGAATTTTTGTGTGATCTTTGCCAGGTTTTGGCAGGAGTACCACTCTTCACTGATACTAGCACTCGCAATACTATTGTTGTACATATCTGCTAGCTCTTTCAGCTCATCTTCAGTACACCTGCTAATGTCATCAAATCTTATACAATCTGGAATTGGTGCACTATTATTTGTTTGTCATAGTACAGCCTTGATCTCATCCACTGTCACTATATCATCGTCTGCAGATTTCTGTGACCTACACCTATCTGAGATATTCGCTTTGGCAAAACTGCGTCCTGTCATATCAGTCTGGCTGCTCTGCTGTAGAAAGTGTTCTAATAGCGCCTTGCCCTTATTTTCGTCGGACCTCTACAAGGTGAGGTCGGAGCACTGGAAGTCAGGAATGCCTTTATTTGTGTGGGCACCGGTCATAATTTTATGTAGTTGCCAAAACAGCTTCATTGATTTATCTCTGCTTATTTTGTGACACACTTCTGCCCACTTCTCATGTTTAACCTCAGTAAATATGTTGCTCCCAGCTCTTCTTCTTGTCATTTTGTTTTTTGCGCTTGTCACGCCTTATTTTACCAACCACATCCTGTCCTGTACTGAAATACATAAATGTCTTGACCTTTGAATTCTATTTTTTGGATCTGCCTTTTTCTACACTATGCTGCAGGGGTGGTTGTCGCTGCCATGGTACACCCCATTTATACACTGAAGTGAGTAAAGGAGAAACTAGAGCCAGATCAGTAACACTGTCTTCGTCACCTGGTCTACTTTCTACCTTCCTGACACTGCCACTGTTAATACAAAGTCAACAGTTTTAAACACGGCCTCGAGCTCTTTCACCTGTGTGTTGGGTGAAATGTTCCCCCATGATCTGCCTTTCACATTGAAATTATATTTCTCTCTTGAGATATTTTTTCACTTTAACACTGCCACCTCTGGAAGTCAATGCTCATTTTGCAGGCACAAACATTCACCAACACAAAAGAATACTCGGACTGAACTCTGACTGCCTGTAGTTGTATCCCGTTGCTGTCCCACCTAGACATACCCACCTCTGAAACCACTACACCATCTCGAACAAGGATGGCTAATCCCAGGTGTCGCCTGTTGTAAATAGAGTTGAACCCAGCCATGTGTATTGTGTTATCAACAAGTCATGTTTCCTTTAGGGCAACAATATCGTTGCTGTGAACTAGGCAGTCTAGAATGGGTCCACGATGCTTTGTTCTAGCACAATTCCAATACAGTCGAGGCTTGTTTGATTTGTGAACGAGATACAAACCCAGTTCCGCCATTATCGAAACCCAACATCTAACACGATCGCTAACCACACGCGCTGAAAAGGTCAACTCAAAGATTGTTTTGCTCAGATGCACAAACTCCGTAGCACCGGCAAAACTCTTGAGAAAAAGGGAAAACTTTTGATTACATCACGGCACAAAACATTTCATGTAAAGGATGTGAAACATCCATATTGACGTGAAATGAAGTAGCTACCTATGTCCACGCGCAGAAGTTGATTATCCAACTAATCAACAGCTCATCATCTGGCTATCATTTGTCTCCATGATAGGTGAAAGCTTGCTGTTTTTTGAGCTACACTAGGTATGCTTTATGTATACATGATAGTGCAGTGGCTAGAAGCTTTGGATGTTCCTTTACTCACTCACACATGTTCGGCTTTCCTGCTGTGACACACTTCTGCCCTGTTTCGGCACACACCACGTTTTTACTTGGTATACGACCTTTGTCGTTCTAGTACTTCATTAATCAAGGAAATGTTTGTTAAATAAATGGATGGATGGATGTAAAAGACTGCAGGAAAGTACAACCCCAACAAAGCACAAGCAAGCAATAATAGCATTGTCTGAAATGACCTGGCAATATAACATTTCTATAACATCCTAAGGAGAAGCATTAGGCAAAGATTTTTGGACAAATTTTGGGTTAATGTCAAACCTGGTCAGGTCCTAATAGAGAAAAGGACAGGTAAATATTTGTGCTGAGTGGCAAAGCTTTATGGAAAAGGCACGGGTTTCAGCTCTTGGGAACTTCTTTTCATTATGTGGTGGGTAATGAACAGGCCAGACAAATTTTGCGCTGGTGAATCATGACAAGGCTTTTGGGAACAAGCAACGTAATAAGTAGAGACCAGAGAATGAGGCACATGGGGTTTAACCAGAGGGTCTGGCTGTCTGACTACACTCAGGGAAAGGCAAGACGGACCTGTCCCAGCAGTATGGAACTCTGTGCTGGCTGCTGAAGGTGATGAATACACATGGGAATGCCAGAGTGCTTCTGTGATGTCAAATTCTTGAAACTTAAGAGACATAAAAAAAAAGAAATAGAAAACACACTAGAATTTCAGATTCCTGAAGTTTTATTGGAAGGAGACTGAATCTCTATAAAAAAAAATGAGACGCACACCAGATGACTTGTTAATCAACATAGAACTGGTACTATTAGCCATCGGATGTTGTGGTTCATACTGAGGGGGAGGATCTGAGCACCTCTGGACATGTCCGGAGTGCAATGCTGATAACCCAACTAACTAACTGACTCTCTATCCACATAATCACAAACAAGGTCCGACAATTAAGTAATGAGACTGATTTTATTATGGCCAAGACAAAAACGCCATCTATGATCTGGCAACTTTTCATCGCCGCTTGATAAGCAGACAACAAACAAGCCGCCATTTTGTTGACCTAGTCAGAGGTGCACTTT